AACTATAAGTCGATTAAAAAAAAAACAAAGCTTTTTCCTTCCTGTTCTGTCATAACTTTTATGTGGATCACTATGGATCTGGTCAGTAAGAACGAATTGGTTTACAAAAACGATATGATATAGGGTGAATAGGGGAAAACTCAAATTTTCTATATGGGGGATTGCAAATTCGGTGTTATAGTTCTTCATTAAAATGAAGGCTTTTATCGATGAAGCATTGCTTTTTATTATTTTTGCCTTTGTAGGCATCACTTATTTGGATGGTATCTATGGGCTCAATGTACATATTTGGAGCAGCCATATACGCAACACGAATACCAGAGAGATGGTTTCCCGGACGATGTGACCTTTGGGTAGTTTTTTCAAAAAATTTACAATAAAGTTACATTTCTCTCCCTTGCAGTTCCAATCACATCAACTTTTCCACACTTTCGTTGTAATAGCTGCTTTTATTCATTTTCACGCTATCACTGAGATGACAATGAAGAATCTGATGGAGGGCTCCTGTCCTGAGCGCCTATTAGAAAGGTGGGCGATATTTAGTCTCCCATTTTTTCTGGAGTTTTTTTTTTGTTGCATAGAAAGTGATTTGCTGAGCTTTAGATATGGAGCAGAGTCTTTCCCATCATTCCTGGGTACTCTGCTAGGATTAGACGAGGATCCCAACATCAAATCCTGGACGCCCGATATGAGACCTCCTTAGTGTTATTTGTTTATATTGCATCTGAATCAGCCTGTCTGATATTAGAACAGCCTAGCGTTTCATAACATTAGGTGGTTTTAATTAATTAAAACCGTGATCTCTTTTTTGGTGTTTGTGAGTCAAGTGGCAGCTTTTTTAGGATCTTTAGTTCTTTCAGTGATGTGTTATTCAAAATTTTGTTTACCTGAGAATCCCTAGATCCTATTCTTTTATTTTTCGAGTTTAGCTGTGATTTGCTATGGGTTAGTTGCTTATTTATTTCTTCTAGCTCTATTTTATCTTATTTTAGGCTCTTATCCTTATTATATTAACACTCGATAAAATCCGCAGTCCCAATAACTCGCTAGAGTGTATCAGATGCACATTGCAGTAAAGGTATATAGTGTTTGGAAACGATTGAGATCAGCGTGCTAAACTGAGTACACACATTGTTTACCGCTTTTTTTCCCGGTATCCGCTGAAGTAGTGTCATCCACGAAAAAAATCCTAATCAATCAGCTATTCATAGTAAGTTTTAACGGGATCTTTTGAATGGGTGCGAGACAAGGTGTTAGATGACCGTTCGGACAAACCTTTCGCGTTGCACTAGCGTCACTGCGCTGTGTGCATTACACTTCTCAGCCGTCTATTAGACTGATCCACAAACGACCTATAAGTATAGGTGGGTCAAAAACTTCTAGTTTTTTCCGAACTCATTTTTACACTAGTCAAAAATAGTGTACAGCGGCTTGTGGTATGTCTCTGAGGGTTACTTGCGGTAAATTGTGGGAGAAATGATTCAATTTGAACTTGGTATTTATGATATTCTCTAATTACGTCGATCAGCTGTGGAGTTGACCTAGGGTAATCGGGAAAAAAA